ATACGAAGACATTTCACCGCTTCTGACACAGACAGAGCTGTGTCATACCTCACTTCCAGCTACATTGACCTCCCTGCAGTCCTCGCCGGTTTTTTTTGAGGACGAAGAGTTTTCACCAGCCCCCCGTACCGACACTGCACAGCCCGGACGACACGTATCCCCACATACCCCCTCCCTGACTTTGCAGCGTTCAAACGGGCACCAGGTAGTTAATGGTGGGGCCATACTCGAGCTTACAGACTCACTGGACGCCAGTGACGTTCCATATTCCCAAGAACGTCCTGTGTCTAGCAGCTGCAACTCCTCCGCAGAGGAAGTGCCTCTCTCTGACGTTGAACTCCAGACGGAAATTAACGAAGCCAAAGTACGTGCATTGCAGCCAACCACCTATCTGGCAGACGTAATGGAGCAAACAGACTCTGGTGCCACTCTATGTGAGGACCTCTTCAGTAGGATATATTACGATTTTGATAAGGAGAGGTACTCCGGAGAGCATTGGGGGGATGTCGACGCTGAGGCCATGAATTTATGCGTCCCGGTCTCAGCAGAGGAATTGGAGGAGCGCGCTCAAGCGCAAAGAAGTGGCGGTCTCGATGGCTGGCACTATGATAGCCCTTTCGACGAAGTATTCGTGAAAATCGACAGCGTGAATCGGAGTCTGGAGGGTCGATTTGTAGAAGAAGCCAACACTGCACTCGACCGGGTTGTTGCAGACATTTCCAGTAGAAAGGATGATTCTACATATTATTTGTGCTTCGTACAACGAGTCGCCGACTACGGTTTGTGAACCCCTCGAAAGCGGCCACTTCTTCCAAATGGGCCTGTCTGCAGACCGCTACTATGATGTCTGGAGAGCTCTCAGTGGTTCGAAGGAGCCCCGTGCCACACACGACTGCAGTAGCACGGAAAGGTCCCGTACAGCGAACAGAGCAACGACTCTCATAACTGAGATAGAAGCCGAGGTTGCAGTCGTCAACCGTGACCTACTTTATGTACAAAACGCAACTGTCTTCTCGTTAGATGACGATCATTTGCGTATGGCATCGCAGGCTGTTGTTGAACTTACCTACTTGCAACAACACAATAACCATAAGAAGGGTTTGGGGCCTGTAGGTAACGCACTATGCCCCGCTCTGAACCCTTTCTTTATTGGCTGTCATTTTACGCGCACGGGTGAGAAACTGTTGCATACTTGTGAGAGGCTTATCCAGATGGTGCAGGGGGCATCTACGACCGGAGCTTTACGCCCTATGCCGAACGCAATCTTCGCCGCCGATCGCGGCTACAATTCTAAAGAAACAATCTCGTTTCTGTCCGACAAACTAGGTGCAAGCCTGCTGGGTACCCATAAGAGGGATTTGTGGTACCCGTTTGTATTTGGCGAAGGCCCAATTTCAAGAAGGCACCGAGGGATAGACGTGTCTGAGAGGGGCTGCCGTGCTGTGTACACGGCCCAACTGAAGGGTGGGGGGGCTTGCAGTTCCCAGGTTCGACGCGCCGAGGCCTGTGTTTATCGAGAGAGCTGCTCTGGGAGAATTGCTGCCCTGGTTCACAATAATGCATCCCTGTTCTCTTCCAGATGCTTCACTGTTGTGCTGCGTGACTCTTTTCGAACGAAAAGTTCTGTACAGAAGCTACAAGAGTCATTGGTAGCCTTTGACGAATACCAAAAATGCGGGGATCGGCCGACAAGGTCCGAATCGGTCCGATCGGGCACAGTTAATCATGGCAAAAACAAGGTTGAACAGCTTCTTAGCAGGTGCACCATGCTGACATATTATCAGTCGGAGGACCCGGTTTGGTTCCTCCTTCGTGCATTCCGCTTCACATCACGCACTGCCCATGGCTTTAAAGCCGCTTTGGCTAGCGACTACGAGGCTTTATGGGGGGGGTCCTATCATGGCTGTTGCGGGAGGAAGTACTAACTATTGGGGCACATTCTTTGTTTGAAGACCATGTCATTGTTCGAGAATACCTCAGGCCGAAATGGGAGCAGGTTCTCAGAACCCTAGGAATGGCATTAGGATGCATGCCCCGCCCATCTTCCCGTGCCTCTCTTGCAGACCGCATTTCAAATAGCTCTGCAAGCAGAATTTCTGCAACTACCAAACCTGAGTTGCTTAACTTTCTATCTGTGTTTGGGCGTGTAGTGGATAGTCGTGCTAACAAGTCCGAAGTTGTGGCCGCTGTAATGCAGTTCAAGGCAGATATACTGTCTAGGTCTGTGTCTACAGACGGTGGGAATGAAGCCGACCATACAACTGATGATGAGATGGCTGAGCAGGCAGCAAAAAGAATATGCATTTTGTTTCGAGAAGCCTCATTAACATCATGGGTCATGAAGCCCCTAGTGCCAGCCGCTGGCATGAAGGAAGGCACTCGCAACGAATTGGAGATTATCCGAGCCATTCCTAACTTCTTTGCGGGGCACTTGGGTGCGTACAAGAGGGGACTGTGTTCGTCTACATATAGTTGGGATCACTACCACAGTTTAACTGTGAACTACATTCGGACAACCGGACTTCTAGAAAGCCAGAGCTGCTCTATGGTCGCTGACAGCCCGGATGCTGTCATGGCGGCTACTGATGGGGACAATTTAACTACGGTCTATGCAGTCGAAATTAAGACCATGACCGCGGTGCGGACAATAGAAGGGGCTGTAGTACTTAGAGAGAAGTATGGTGCTATTATATCGCTGGAGAATGTTGGCACAGATGACAAAAGCTCTGAACTGTTCAGAGAACTTGTGCCATCTACACAGTACAGAGCACAGGTGCTACATCACTGTGCTACGCTAGAAATGAACCATGTGGCATTTGTTGTCGGCACTGGAGGGTCCATGGTTGAAGGTAATATCATTTACTTATGTCTAGTTGAGTTTTCTGAGTCCCTGCGACACAGCTATACATACTGTCTGGACTGTGGTAGAGTCTCAGTTTTTTCTTGGGTGGGATTGGATGCGTCACTCGTGCCAAAATAATACGACGAACTGTTGAAAGATAGTCATGCGTCCGATCTATACAGCTTTGTGTCGTATTATAATCTAAGCAAGGCCATCAGAAAGGAAGTTTTGAAACAGGGATCCCCGATACCGCCCTGCAGGATGATCAGGTTGACCCCAGCTGTATTCTGGAACAACTTAAAGGGAGGCGTAGATGTTATCTCCAGGTATTTGAAGACGTTGGTTAGAACGAATATAAGTAAGAACCCTGTAATATCTATTATTGCACGTCTGCTAAGTATGCAAATCTGCAATGCAGCTGTGATATATAGACTCTCTCTTGCAAGGCAGAGAAATATTCTCCCGCCTTCTGTCAATGAACAATATGAAACTGAAGGATACGCCTCGCTACGACACAAAGTTACAAGGTGTGACACTTTCGGATCCTTCGCGAGACGACTCGCTCAAGAATGGGCAGAAAAAATAGGATCCACCCGCTCTGAGGACAATGACAACGGTTTTAATGAACATGTCACCAAACTCACTCCTTTTTTTAAAAGAAAGGCTTCAGAGCAGTACAACCATGAAACTCACAAGGCAAGAAGACTTAACAAAAACTTGCGTCACGAAAAGGTGCACGGGACACCGACTTACTGCGTTCTATGCAGCTGGGTGAAGCGCGGAACTAAGGACGGAAAACCTAAAACGAAAAGAAAGGGCTCCCGTCAAGTCCAGTGATGCTGTACGTGTAGGCAAGCGATATGTAGTAGCTGCTGGATAGAGTGGCATTCGCGCCCCACGCTGAAGCGTCACATTCACACAGCGGCTGATGAAAGGGAATTCGAATCTGCGCCAAGAACGCCAAGAAGACGTGCAAACCCATCTAGTTCACGCTGAAGCGAATAACCACCCCAACTCTCTGTTTCTGACCCCGTAGACTGACCCGTAAACAAGGCTGTTTGGTAGACGTTGTGCAATTAATGTGATGTTTGAGATTAGAATAGTGCATTTTTGAGACGTCGCATTCCAGGGAAGTGAGAGTCTCACAAATCGTCAACAACATTCACACAACAATCAACAAAAATGCTCTTCGAAAAGTTGACGTCTGACAATTTATGTGTGAATCTCATACACTGTGAGACTTTCGAGACTTTTTGTGTGAGTTTTGAGATGTTTGGGACCGTATCAAACCCCGGTCCACAATTCATTTTTTGAGCAGACACCACGCCGGAAGTACTCGCCAGTTCAGAACGAGACCTATATCTACTTGACCGGAACACTGTTTTGTGTTGAACGGCACTACTTCGGGCTGACTGCGCCTTCTACAACGGAAGAAAGTTCAAAAAAAACCGACCGGGGCACAAAATTACCGTCACAAAAAAGGAGCACAGGGATATAGCTAAAAACGACCAGGAAGAACATGCAATTCTCACAAAGCTCTTTCTGGTCCCAAGGCAAAAGTCAAGTACGGTGGCGAGGTGTCTTCTTCCCTCTTCTTCAGAAAGCGCAGGTCATGAAAAATAAGTCAAAAAGTGTCTTCATATGGGAACAATGGTCCGATAGACACTAGCTAGCGGGACAAAACAATTGCCCCTTATTGCGTTTAGCCTTAAAATCCCCTCCTATTCCGAACAGTGGCCTTTTGTCTAGACATGAGCTTCCTTCTATATGCTTGCTCTTACGTTCAACGGAATACGTCCAACAGACGCGTATCCCACTTGATCTCATGTCGTATCGAGGCGCTACTATCCTCGTATGCACCGTATGGAGCCTTTCTGCGTTCGTCGTAATATTTGCATTGGCCTCGCTTTCACGGTGCTTAACAACCAATGTGGAACAAAAAAGTATCAACAATAACAGTTCATTCAAATCTACAATACACGAGTCTACACGACTGTTGAAGGCGACACGGAATAATTCTTCCGTAAACACTGCAAATACGAGGACGTGTGAAATCGACGCGTGAGCCGTCTGTACGTAAGATCATTACAGAGGAAGCGATAGCGGATTCGTGTTAGATATCAGCCAATGTTATGAACTCCGCAGGAAGAGCGATTGTATGTCTTTCTGCGTTCGGGGAGCAAAAGAGCTCAGGGGCTCAGCGCATCGAATCTCGTTTATATTAAGAAGAGCTTTTTGTCCACAAAAAGCACCGAATCTATGAAGGCAAAGACCGCAGTTCAGAAGCCCCATTACCGGCAAACTTCCGTTGGCATGGAAGTTCAAAACGACTGATGGTTTGTACTATCTCTGGTTCGCGGTGCCAAGAAATGTTAGGACCCAACGCCTCCTATTTCGTTCTTTGCAACAGATTGTCTGTACGCGCAGAGCTGGAAAGGGGCAGTGACCGTTTTCTTCAGAAACGGGACTCATCCGGACAAGCGCTAGGACCTAAGCCCTTTAGGCATTCTCAAAAAAACCGGCTTGCCTCTTGTAATGCATCTCCTCTTGCGCAGTCAGCCTGTCTCTCGTCCAGTCCCCAGACTCATCCCTCGACCTATATTTTCTCTTCTTCTCTTCGTCCACGTCGAAGACGGTTTCAAGATTGCACGATGGAGCTCCTCTAGCAAACAGTGTATCTGGGTCTGATTTTTCGGCTTGTAGTGTGTGCAAGAGCGCTTGCTTTCCCGCCCAAGAGGGGACTGTCTTGTTTCGTCTTCGCTTGCGTTCTTCTACCGATGTCTCGAAGCCGTCAGCATGACGCTCTGCAGTCATCACCCATTGTGGTTCCTCGGCCTCTCTATTTCTTTTCTCTACTTGTGGGGTCCGCGGGGGAGGCACACTATCAGCTGAGACCATTTTTGGAACTCTAGAGGAACCTGTCGGAGGAAGTCGAGAATGGAGGTGGCCTGGCCGTTGTTGCTGCTTCTGCTTAAATTGATTGCCAGTAGTTCCATGCTGCCCTAATTTCGGTCGAGGGAGTTTTGACAGTTTCCCGTAGCGTTTTGCGTCAGCTTCTTTCCTCTGCGCTGCCTTATCTATTTGCTTTTTCTGATCGAGAACACGACGGCGACGTTCTTCTTTCCGTTTGTCTTCCTCTCCTTTCTTTATTCGTTGCCTCTCTTCTTCTTCTCGCCTTTTTCGGGCCCTCATCTGTTCTTTACGACGTAGTTCTTCCGTGCGATCTTTCTCCGCTTCAGCAAGCAAACGACGACGTTTTTCGGCCTTTCTCTGCTTGTCATCAATTTCTTTTTGCTTAGCAGTACGCTGCGCTTCTCTACGTGCCAAAATTTCGGCTTCTCGTCTTTCCATGTCTTGTTGATGTCGTTTCAGAGCTTGACGCGCCTCGAAGCTCGCTCTCTTTTCCTCTGGTTTATGCTCTTTGCTGAATTCATTTGGCGTGGGTAGGAAGGAAGACACTGAGGAGACTAAGTTGGTGAGGGGACTGGCCACAATGACATTCTCGTCCCGACCAGTGCAAGAGCCCTTGTCGTCGCTTTCACGATCTGAAGGCGAATGCGAGGCCATTCGATCCACATCTACTCTTCCACTGTCAGGAGAAGTGTTACCAAGGGACATTCTCAAGTTTTCGTGCTCGTGGGCTCCTGGGATATGTACATGCAGCGACTTCTGAAGTATACCATGGTCGGTTTGTTCTGGTAAACTGTCATCCATTGGCTCACTGTATTTAGAGCGATTAGTCTGCTGATGATGGATGCGTTTCTCAGAAGGTGTTGTCTCATCTTCAACCGAGGAAGACTCAGTTGCTCTCATCGTCTCATTCCAGCTTTCTTCTGTTGATTTAATGGGTATGTCCCTGGATATGGCCCTTGTCTCCAGGACGGTACCTGAATTACATTTTCCGACTCCATCTTGAGGATCCGAGAAGACTTCATCAACCCCAGCCTGCAAGACATCAACGTTTCGAGGAATTTGCGGAGTAAAAGACGACTTAGAAGCATATAGGCTCTCAATCTTGCAACGCAAAGCACTCTTACCTTGCTTCCCTTCTATTCTCGACAGAGGAGCCCGCTGTGCGGGGGCAGTTTTGGGCTCGGGTGCCGCAGCGAAGTTAGTCTTTCCATCACCCTGTCCAACCGTAGGATTTGCAGTTGAGAACGTTAAATGCTTTTCAAATCGCCGAGATTTGCTCACTGTCTCAACAGAAGGAGCCATGGCTGGAGTCTGAAAGGAAAGCTCTCGGGGTAGACCCATCTTCTTGTGCATTCCCTTGGCATCACTAAGATCCACATTCCTCTTGCTTAATATCCCCGTGGTATTTTGAAGTGGAGATTCAGGCGTAGTCGGCTTGGAAACATGTGTGTTGATGTTTGAGTCGACAAGAACCCCTGAGCTTACGATGGCATGTTTCCCAGGTGTACGGGCACCTGGGGTATGCAAGATTGGCATCTTGGGGTTGGTGCTGCGAGATCGCTGAACGGACATCCTTGGCTTCATGGCTGAATAAATATTATTTGTTTGCGTGAATAGTCGATTAGCGCGAATGCTTCCTTGGCCAGCTGACGTGTTCGCACTTGTGGATGGGGTTGAAACAATTTTTGACAACGCCCCGATCCCGCCCTGCTCGAGCTTTCCATTTTCGTCCACTGGGAATCTCCCGCTCGACGAATCAGCAAACCTGTCGTGAATCGTGCTACTTCGAACTGATCCTTGCGGGGTTTGCGGGATATGCTTGACAGCGGAGTGTATGGAATCAGCTGTCCCTGCGTTTTGGTACTGCATTTTAGAACTGGTTAGAACGGGCCTTTGTCTAGGTTTTGGCATTTTGTAATTGACAATAGGAGACTTGCATGTATCCAAAGACGCAACAGTCTTAGTGGCTTCAATGAGCGGAAGGTCTTGGCGCGAAGGGTTCGTGGCTTCATGGCCAGTGCCCTTACATGTGCTTCCTGTGTCGCTCCGCGGAAGAGCCCGACTTCTCTCGCTGTTTGCTTGTACATGAGTTCCGCTATCCTCATTCCTTTGCGTCTCTGCGATGGAGGATGCTCTTTCCTCCTGGGAAACTCGCCCTGATTCCATGGAATGAGAATCATGATTATCGCCATTCAAAGAAGAGCTTGGCGACGAAGCACCTTGAATTCGCTGGTTGGATTCCGCAGGTGTGCTGATCCTCCTACCCCTCTCAACTGATTTTTCGGATGCAGAAGAAATATCTGATTGAGGAGAGCGCGCTGCAGTTGAACGCACCAATTCTTTTCGAGGACGTCTGCGGCGCCGTATAACAGGAGATTCCTTTGCATCAGCCCCATCACCACCCGGTGAGTTTCGATCACCTGACCCTGCGCGTGCACTCGCGGGATTTTTTTTGGAGCTTTTCGTAGGGTGACTTTCTGCAGCCGTTCGGCGGGTATTTCGTAAACTATCAGTGTGTTGTGTTTTCGCTACACCGCCCCTAATCGACACCATTTCTGTTGATTTCCTCAATGAAACAACATCCTTAGGAGTGTCGCTGTCGGCATCCTCTTCCTCCTCAGACTCGAAGGACGCACTCTCCTCTCTGGCGTGCACTAAATCCAATGCCGGTTCTGGCGGCGGTATGTCTGTTCTAGCAATCTTCTTCGGTCTCACCGCTTTCTGCTGTTGAGCGCGTTTTTGCGGAGTCGACTTGCTAACTGTCCCACTCTCGACATCGTCTTCCTTACAAGGTGATGGAGGATGCTGCTCTGGTGAAGGAACTCCCTCCGAGTCGGAAGTGTCCATACGATCAGGCCCCTCGTCAGCCCCCTCGCTATTTTGACGGGCGTCTTCAAACTCGGCATCTGAAATAGACGACCTACGCGTGGAATGGGACAATTTTGTCGCCTCCCGAGATTGTTTCACTTCTTCAGTACCTTCCTGATTCAGGGGAGTCGAGCTGTGATTCCTTTCAGGCTCGTTTTCCTCGCGCTCCTTTTCTTCCTCGCCGTTGCTATCAAAGTTGGGTGGCGGAAAATATTCCGATACTCTTTTCTTATCCGCGATACTGTCGTGCGAGAGCGCGGAGTTGAATGACGCAGGAGAAGTATTCTTCGAGCTGGGTGTAGCATCGTTTGGTGCGCGCGAGTTGCGCTTGACGGAGTTCTCTTTCCTGCCCTTTGCACATGAATCTAAAACAGCACTATCAACCATGCCACTGGCCTTCTCCCGCGACAAGGCCTTCCTTTGCAACGGTATGTCGACGACCGTCGCAAGTGGGGCCCTCTTTCTCGTTCTCGGAATCTTCACGCGGGGCCTCCTCCCTTCTTCTTGAAGCTCGGCCCCATTCTCTACGTTCTCCTTGTCCTGCAATCGGATGAGGTCGGTTTGCTGCCTTCTGACGATTCCACGCTCCTTTGCAATAGTCGGGAGCGGGCCCAACTGCTTCAGTTGCACGCGCGTGGGTGGCCTCGGCGAAGGAGGGGTTGACGGACCAGAAGAAGGGGGAAGGAAGTCAAACAGGGAAGCAGCGGTTTCCTTTAGCCATACGATGTTGGCATCGCACTGAGAGCGGAACGCGGCGAGGGAAGCATCGTTTTGCTTGCGGATGGTGGCAACATTGTCGATAAGCTTTTCGTCGTCGTTGCCCATGGTGTAGGGCAGAGCAATGGGGCGGGATGTAGCAGGGAGGTGGGCGATGTGCGGGGAGGATGACGAAGGGAAAGGGGGCGAAGAGGAGCGCGGAGAGGAGGGCGGACCACAAGGGGTCGTGGGCAGAAGAGATAAGGACCGGGCGCGGGAACGGGCGCTTTCGAAATTTTGAATTGGAAGGGGATTCGTCGGGACTACCGGACGAAAAGAAAAACAGGTTCCGCACCTTCCGCTGCGTCACCTCCGGGGCCCTTTTCTTATCATAGGGGCAGCGGAGCAGAGGTCCCAACGGTCTCGCACAACGGTCCACTCTTCTTCGGTCCCGCCATTCTCCCAGCACTCGTCTTTTTATTGTCAAAAGTAGCCTTCGTCACAGTCAGTACAGTAGGCACCCCTAAATAGTTCACCCCCCTGCCAGGACCCAAAAATGCGAACTATTGACAGAACGAACTACTAAGATCGCATTGCTGGCATAGGTCCTTTACTCAAAATGCTCGAAAATGAGCGTCTGCCATGTTCTCTATCTCGTCTGCTCTCGGTACAAGGCTCGCTTTGCCGGACGAAGCCCCTCGCTGGCCCCAACGACACTTGCCCTTTCCGCCAAAGCCTCCACCCCCCCAAATATCTGGGCAACATCGGACAGTGGCGGCAGTTTCTCAGTAACAATTGAGAATTCGTACAGAATTCTTACGGATCTTTTGAATTGTTCGCGGATTGCAACCGAAACGAGTTGCTGCATCTCTCACGGTGAACCCATTACGGAGCTGGTGAATACTATCTGCTTTTTCGGAGAGAGCCAATCTTTTGCGCATGCTTTTGACAGTGGGTGCGGAGTTCAACGTCATTGCGCGCAATGTGGACGGCTGCGGGGCGGATGAAGAAGACATTATACTCGTGCTCTTGGAGCATGAACAATTTAAGGGAGGACAGTGGCGGCCGCACCGGTCTGAATATGGTACACGTGTACACGTCTGAGAAACCGTGACAACGTCAGAAATGCAAACTATTGGCGTAACGAACTATTCAAATGCGAACTACTGTATTGAGGAGCCCCCCCCCCCTGTATTCATTTCTCTTTACGAGCACGGCGTTCCTTCATCATCCACGTCCCGCCATGGATCTTGGCTCCTAATCGAGCCGACAACCTTCTCCACCGACTGCCGATCGAGCGGCATCCCCGCCGCTGCCATGACCAGCCCGACAAACGGTGGGCTGGGGCGCCCCGGTCTGCTCTTAAATTCTGGGTGGAACTGTGTACCGAGGAAGAACGGATGATCTTGCCCCTCCAAAATCTCCATCCGCGTCCCACTCGTATCCATCCCTACGAAACGAACTCTTCCGTCCTTCTCTAATTTCCCTACCACCTCTGGATTTACTTCGTACCGATGTCGATGCCGCTCATAAATCTCGTCTTCCCCGTACAGCCACGCTGCAAGACAATCATCATCCTTGATCACCGTCTTCCTCACCCCCAACCGCATCGTCCCTCCCATACGCGTCTTGTCAACGTCCGGCATGTACACCACCGCATGCACCGGAGCGTCTGAATCAAACTCGGCAGAGTTTGCCTTCGGTTCTCTAAACGCTTCCCGAGTTGCCTCAACCGCCGCCATTTGCATTCCCAAACAAATACCAAGAAACGGCGTTTTGGTGTCGCGTGCGTGACGAATCGCCAAAATCTTTCCTTCAACCCCTCGATCCCCAAACCCACCAGGCACCAGAATTCCGTCCGCCTTGCTCAGCTGCTCCCACGCCGTTTCTCGGTTTGCATCTGCGTCACTCGGGCATTTGACTGCTGCACGCTGAACTTCAGAAATCACTGAACCGTTGGCAGACGAAGTCCCGTCCGAAGCCGCCGTCGTCGGGGACTCAAGGTGGCTCGACTCGATCCACACGACCTTGACCGTGCGCCCGACTGCCATGCCCGCATGTTGCAGCGCCCGAATGACAGAGAGATAGGCGTCACAGAGACCGGTGTACTTTCCGACAAGACAGATGGTAACATGTTTCTGGGTTCGGCCAAGGGATTCGAGAGACGCAGCCATGCGGGCCCATTTCTCCAGCCGCGTAGGTAGCCTCCAGACAAGATGCAACGATCGGATGAGCAAATTACAAACGCCCTGCTCTTGCAGCATCATCGGGATGCGGTATGTATTGGAAACGTCATGAACTGAGGCGACAGCGTCCGGAGCGACCTGACAAAACATGGCGAGTTTCCTCCTAGTGTCTGCGTGAAGCGGCTGCTCGGACCTGCAGACGATGAGTTGTGGGGAGAGCCCCATGGATGAGATGCTCTTCACTCCGTGCTGCGTCGGTTTTGTCTTCTGCTCACCGACGACACCGAGGACAGGAACGAGCGAGACAAAGACTGAGCAGAAGTTAACGTCGCCGACGTTGTAGCGTAATTGACGGAGAGCTTCGACGAAGGGCATGCTTTCGATATCACCCACCGTACCCCCCAATTCAATGACACAAATCTCCGGGACCTTGCCCTCCGCATCGGGCGTTGTGGCTACACGCATGATCCATTCCTGAATGGCATCGGTGATGTGCGGTACGACCTGGACAGTCTTTCCCAGGTATGAGCCCATGCGCTCACGTTCCATTACATGGGAGTAGATCTTACCCGTGGTAATATTGTTATCGCTTGACAAGGTGACGTCGAGAAAGCGTTCATAATTGCCCAAATCGAGATCCGCCTCTCCCCCATCATCCAAGACGAAGACTTCGCCATGCTCAAACGGGGACATAGTACCTGCATCCCTGTTTAGATATGGGTCTATCTTGATGGCTGTGACTCGCCACCCACAACTTTTGAGTAGGACGCCGAGCGAGGAGGCGGTGAGCCCCTTGCCAATGCCAGATATGACACCGCCAGAGACGAGGACGAATTTGACGTGACCACCATCACCTGAGGGTTGAGGGCCGTGCGGGAACATGTCGAAGTGGTGGGGCGTCACGGTATCTCGGGGGAGGAGGGAAGGCTGCTTGCACGACGTAGGTGGAGTGCGCAGATGATGCGGCGGGAAGACGAATGTCCATGCCCGTGCAGAATTGTGCTCTGCGCCGACAGACGTACCGTACTGTACACTACAGTACAGTAGGTGCGGATTTGTGGTGGTATCAGACACGTATACAGAGGTGATGAGAAGTCCACGTGTTGTACGTGCGTAACTGCGCGCTACGTACCGTCCTGTGGTGCACCAGAGCTGGCTCCAGCCGTTTTCCAGAAGACGGGGGGCGAGCAGTAGACAAGGCTACGGTTTCGTCATGCCCGCATACAGGATATGTCTCTCTGTCTGTCGAACAGAGTCCTGTGTGCCTAACATGTAACCAGGAAAATACATAGCAACAGTCCCGTACCTGCTTTGCCTCCTTTCTCAGAGGGTGCGTGTAGATACGGCACATGCAGCAGCCGTGCGTTCGTTACCCAAAGCAACGTTTCGGGGCGCCACCTATCGTACCAGTTGGCCAATTTGGTCTGAGTGGTCATGCCTCATGGATTCCACTGAGGTCATGAGGGCGGAGCTTCGTTCACATGACTCACATGGGCGTCAAGGATTTCCGAAAAATTGGTTTTATTTTTAGTCCTCTCTGGCAAAAGTGGCACCGTCTGCTTACTCGTCAGATCTATGGGCATCCACCAAGAACGCACCCTGCAAGACGCCCCGCCAGGCCAGGCACCCTCCCCAGCCTCACTGTCACACCGCGTCAGCAGGATGGAGACAGATGGAGGCAGGTGGAGGCATCTGCCGCTGGCAAAACCAGCCCCTGGCACCAGAATAGTCTTCTTGTCACCATTTTGGAGCAGATATCGTACTGTACACATCTCATGTTTCCATACATGTACAGGTTTACGCATCTTCTCAACGCTCCTTCCACTCACCTCACAATCTCCCCCAAACCCTACTGTTTTTTTACACCATGTCGCTTAGGGCCGACTATTCCCCAACAAACAGCCACCAACAGACAAAGTCGAAACACCTTGGCCTCACCTGGCGTCTGCCGAAGTTTCCCCGCTTTCGATATCGACCGCCGTTTCCCGTTCTGTGTCCGCCCCCACTCCCTCTGCCTGCGGCTGCCCGTCCACGTCAAACAGCGTTCGAGCATCCCACTTGCAGAGCGGACACGCGCTCTTACCTCTCCGCAGCCACTTCTTAATACATCTGCACAAATACGGAACAAACGCACGGAAACTAGTGTCAGCATCTCTCCCGCTCGGAATAGCACGAAAAGCATCACTCCCTCGTTATCAACGTACTGCATATGAAACCGGTGTTCGCACGGAAGGTTGACTAACGCCGTTCTGCCCTCCTCCGCACTCCCATCCAGACAAACTGAGCATGTCCAACCGCCTTCCTCGGCCTTTGAGTCGCTCGAAAACCTCTCGCATACAAACTTAGCCTGTTCGCGATTCAGCATACCCTTTGCTTTCTCCTCCTCCTCTTGTGTGTCTCCCTGATGGCCTAAATCCCCGATCCAATGTGATCCGAGAATTAGCGTCATCATGCCGAACACAGCCGCCAAAAAGGTTGTTGTCCATGCGATGTAGAGCGCCCTCCGTCCTCTAGACACCGCCTCCGGGTCGTCGTCGACTTCGCTTATGGAGACACGCGATTCGTCGCTGCGCTTCACCCAACAGGGCCCCCTGCCCTCCTTGATATGCCCGAGTTTCTCTTCGGCCTGTGAGCCTGTTAGTGTATAGTCAGAGGTGGGTCCGTCAAACGCGACTACTTCTTTGCTTTCTCGGGATGGGAGGCCTGTCACGGTTACTTCAATGCGGTGTGCGTTGCGAGTCGGGTCCTTGGTAGCGCGCTTTGCAAGGCGGGTGCATGTATGTTCATTCCATTCGTAATCTCGACGCCGAGCCTGGTGACATATATATATTGAGAATTGCTTGGTGTTAGCTTCTTGAACTTAGTTCGGATCTACGCAGCGCCGCCGCCAGAAGAGAAACAGGTCGAAAAAGAGACTCACCTCGTAGCGGCTCCAGTTGACAATGGTGAATGAAATACAGGCGAAAGAAATGAGAAGTAATAGGATAGATAAAACAAATTTGACGCGAGTAGATAGACGCGCCGAGGGTTCCGTAGCTAGCGTTTCCGAGTCTGTGTCAGACTCTGAGACGACGTCGTTGTTCGGAGCAGGCTGAGGGGTTTCGCTGGAAGCGACGGCAAGGTCAACGACGTGATGCGTGGGAGGGTTCAAAGAAGTCATGAAGGGAATGCCATAGAAAATGTGCAAGAAGGGAGAAGGGACGAGGGGAACGGAGAAACTGGTACGGACGACGGCGGGAACGTGTGGAGTGTTCAAGTGTGGGAGGGGAGGGGGAGAAAAAAGTGATACGCAGTAAGAGTTGAAGACATCCGAAATGAAGGATAGGGCGTATGTGTTTTGTTTTGTTGTTATTGACACATGCAATAAGTTTGATACAAAAGATGTCTACGCAGCCAATACGCAGAAGGGGAGGGGGGAGGGGCTTATATTTTACGTGAGGGGCGCTGGATTGCGTCCGTGCGGGGCGTGTGCGCTGTGGGAGTGTCGGCACCGTGATGGGGAGGAGTCTAGCACCGGCGGGTAACCGGTTACCCTTGTGTATGGGTATGTGGTCGCGGGGGAGGGGGTGGGGCCTCGTGCCTACAAAATGAGGCAGCAAACAAAGAGCGGTGGTCAAAGGGATGACGTGCCAGTGGGGATGATGATTGGCAGAGGTGGTGGATGGATCAACTCTCTCGCGAGGACGTGCAAGAAAAGTGCTCCGCCAGCTCGCGATGGCATTCTTGTTGTTTCTGTCGCCCTTTCCATTTGCAACAGGCAATCGAATACCGAGCAATCAAAATACCTTTCCCGATCCCACAATCACTCGCTCCCATGCAGTCATCATCTCCTCTTCCACCTCGCCACCGCCCCCAATCCAGAGGGTATGAAAGTCACCGTCTTCCACGGGCGACGACTGCCAGTGAAACTTAGACCTCATATACTCCGCCTTTCTCGCAGAGTTTTCGCTTATAAAACTTG